TCTCTCTCTCTCTCTCTCTCTCTCTCTCTCCCTTCCTCTCTGAAATCAATAAAAAAAATATTTTTAAAAAAGCTACCAGACCTCAGAGAGAAATCTTTCTGTCCAGCACGGTTCAACACAGCCAACTGGTTTCCCCCGCAGACACCAACGCCGGGAGCCCCCGGGAGCACCCCTCAGGCACGGAGGAGACGAACAGCCAGGTAATGAAACACGGCGGGACGGGCTTGTCATTGAAATGCTGACAAACCGGAACGGAGCGCACGGCAGGGCTGCTGCAATATTTTTACGATTCCTTTTTATACATAATGTATGACCCTTCTGCTCACGCCGCCTCTATGCCCTGCCTGTGAAGTAATTTACATTAATAAGTAATTTATTGCCATTAACTCCTAAAGTAATTATGGGCTTCCATCCATTGTTTTTCTTTTTAGCATACGAATGGTTTGCTCTCTGTCCGCGGACTCATATTTACACGACCCTTCCCAGTGGCCCTTTTGCGGCCATGGGAGTGCGTTCGCGTTCCCACGGATGTCAGATTCCCAAGTCTTCTCCTCGCCCGAGAGGTGAAGCGAATGGACGGCGTAGTGTCCATTGTCCCTGCAACTCAGACCTCATTTAACGGGTGCAATTGACCGGGGGGATGGGGGGCAGAGGGGGAGGGGAGAGCCTGCTCTCACCCCCACTTGCTATTTCACCAAAAAAGATTCAATTAGGACAGGTATGACCTGTGTCATGTGACCTGGGTCCATGTGAAGAAGCACTTCCCACTGCAAGTGATGGAGGCGGGAGGGAGCCGTGCACCAGGGGCCGGGCAGCCCCCGCCTCTCCCAGCACAGCCCCCCCCCCTCCCAGCACATGGGATTCCCTCGGGCGCAGCCACGCCCCTGCCGCTCCCACTAGAAATCCTGGCAGCAACAGGGGCTGGTGCCCCTGCCAGGCCTGACCGGTGGCCAGGCCACACCCAGGAAGTGGCCACTTGACCAAGGTTTCCTGTATCAAAAACACGGTGGCTCTCCCCCCACGAAGGTTTGCGGGGGGAAACCTGGCCGCACAGGGTGCTGAGGATGGGCTGGGAGGTAACCAAGGAAACCAAGAGGCGAAGGTGGGCTCTGCTGGAAGCAGCCCAGGGGCACAGGCCCTGCCCCCCTCCGCCCTGCCTCCCACCCACACCTCGCCCGGCTCTGCTCTCTCCTCCCTGCGCAAAAGCACAAACCACTTCTTTGTATCGAGTTCCCAAACTGTGGAGGGGGCGGGCGGGGGGGGGGGGACACAGAGGTGGGGAGGGCCTGCGCCCCAGCTCCTGGGACGGAGAATGGAGTACTTTACAGAGACGCAGGGTGAGCCCTGGACTGTGAGTGAGGCATTTCTGTCTGTTTGTTTTTGCTAATCCTCACCCGAGGGTATATTTCCAATGATTTTTTAGAGAGAGTGGAAGGGAGGGGGAGAGCCAGAGAGAGAGAAACATGGATGTGGGAGACACATCGATGGGTTGCTCCTGCACGAGCCCGGACCAGGGGCAGGGATCGAGCCTGCAACCTAGGTACATGCCCTTGACGGGAATCGAATCCGGGACCCTTCGGTCCACGAGGTGACGCTCTGTCCACTGAGCAAACCGGCCAGGGCAGTGAGGCATTTTGCATTTCATCTGAGTGGGTGCCGAGGAGGCTGAGCTACTGGAAAGGGCGGCTTTTAAAAAGGAAGCGAACAGGCCGAGGCGCTCCCCGCCAAAGGCGCTCGCCCGGATTTTCCAAAGAACATTTAGGAAACGCGAACGCGTTCGGCTTCAGCTAGGACGCTGTGGGGCTGCGGGGAATGACGGGGTTGCAGGGCCCAGCTCAGCTCTCCCGGGAGACCCCACGGACCAGGCCCAGGCCACGAGCCCTTTATCTCCAGGAGACAGGCAGGGCAGGGGTTGGCGATTGTAAAAATGTGACGTTTTATCTCTGCTGAGCACTGTCAGGCTCTGGAAGGGCCCAAAACCCGCCTGAAAAGTCTGGTCGGACCACAGAAAGGAGGCACGCCCGAGATGAAATCGCGCTGCCCGGGATGCCCTCCCGGCTCCCAGCCCGGGGCGAAGCCACACCTCTGTCCCGGCTGCAAGGGGCAGGAGCGGTCACCTGAGCTCCAGCAGCGCAGGGGCGGGCCTGGGGAAGCCTAGGCCTGCTCACGTCCCCGCCTCGGCCAGTGCGGGAAAGGCAGGAGGCGGAGGGCTGAGCCGGCACCCCCTGTGGGCTCTGGTCTCTCGGATTCCTGCGAACACCTGCCATCAGCACGATGAGGAGACCGAGGCTCGGGCACATGTGTCCCCAGCTCCGAGGGCCGACTCGCTCTCTCCCTGCACCAAGCACCCGCACGTAGTAGTTACTCAATAAACACCTGCGAGAACAGGCCGCCGAGAGGAGCCCAGCTGTGCGCCGTGCAGTGCGCTCTCGGGTGGGTCGGGGCCTCTTGGATCAAGGAGGGCTGAGCAGCGGGCAGATAAGCATGTGGGAGGGAGAGACGCTGAGGAGACGGACCAGGGCACCCCACAGACCCGCTGCTCCCCGCGCTCCCCTCCTGCCAGGCAGGACCTGGTGTGGGCTGCACAGCAGGAGCAAGGCAGGACCCCTGAGGGGCAGATCCCCCGCCACTCTGCAGACAAGCGGGCCCAGGCCTGCCGGGGGCCCTGGGCCGGGGAGAGGCCTCTGTAGGAAGCAGGCCGCAGGCTCTGCAGGCTCAGCCCGGCTCGCATCTGAAGGAGCTGTCTCTCCATCTGACTGTCCCCAGGGCCTCTGCCTGGCTCCCTGGGCCTGAGGGTCTTCCCCCAAGCGCCTGCCTCACCCACACTCGCTCCCCAAGGAGACCCACGGGGTCCCTCTGTTTGGACTGGCGCCTCCCGCAGGGAGCAGGAGAGCCGCTTTCGTCTCCGCCCTCTTCCTCACCGTCAGTTACAGTGCTCGCTGCACCAGTCTCCTTACAGCATCATCTCACACAGCCTCCCAGCAAGCCCGCCGGGCAGGTGCTATCGCAGTAGCCACTGAAAACATTCTTTTGTTGTTCATCCTCACCCAAGGATATGTTTCCATCGATTTTTAGAGAGAGTGGAAGAGAGGGGGAGAGTCGGAGAGAGAAACATCCATGTGAGAGAGACACATGGACTGGTTACCTCCTGCACGCACCCCGACCAGGGCCAGGGATCGAGCCTGCAACCTAGGTACATGCCTTTGACCAGAATCGAACCCAGGACCCTTCAGTCCGCAGGCCAATGCTCTATCCACTGAGCCGAACCTCCTAGGGCCGTCGTAGCCATTTTACTATAAGGAAACTGAGGCTGAGAAAGCTAAGCAGTTCAGGGCGACTATCTGAGCCCCCCACCGCCCATGACAAACCCGCAGGAGCCCCACCTCGCATGGCGCACTCGGCTCTAAGGCCAGGGAAGCCGAGGCAGGGACGGCCTGAGAGGAGGGCCGCCCCCTCCACCACCCGGGCTCCTAGTCCGGCCGGTTCTGAGCTGAAGCCCAGGCCGGCTGGGCGTGTGGCCGGTCGCTGAGGTCTGTCGAGAGCTGTTAACCGCCTGGGAGGGTGCACTGGGGCCCTGTGTGGGGACGGGCCTCAGAAGCGGGTTGAGGGGGGAGCCAGGCCAGGTGATCCTCGCTGCCACTTCCTCTGCTGGCCGACGCCCGCCTGGGCTCTCCCTCGCTGTGGCCTGTGACTGAGAAGAAAGCAATTCCTACGCCCCCGACCCGGGCCCAGCTCTGCCCACAGGGGCCTGGGGGCACCTCGAGGAGCCCAGGTCTCCCCCTAAGTGAACGCAGCCCCTGACACCCTGCAGTCCCGGAGGCCCTGCGGGGAGCGTGGCCCGCCCAGCACCGCCCCCCCGAAACCCCCCCGCCGGGAAGTGGGGCTCATGGAAACTGCGGGGGTGGGGGGGCTGAGAAAGGGGCCAGGCGGCGAGGCCCGCGAGGGCAAACAGCGTCGGAGAGCCCGCAGTCGCCTCCGGGGAGCCTGGTGCTGCCTCAGCGCCTCAGAGAGACTCCTGGCCAAGGTGCCCCAAAGGGAGGAGCCACGGAGATGACAGAAAGGAGACCGGCGATGCTCCGAGCAGGAGAAAACCATGCAGGAGACCTGTCACCTTCCCAGCCCCCGTCTTTTTTCTTTTTTTAATCCCCACCCGAGGATATTTCTTCTATTGGTTCTTAGAGAGAGTGGAGAGGAGGAGGGGGGAGAGAGAGAGAGAACCGGGACGAAGCTGTGGCCCTTCAGAGCGCAGGCTGACGCTCTAACCGCTAGCCACACCGGCCAGGGCCCTCTCGGCCCCTTCTAAAGAACAGCCATGCTAGCGGGGACAGGGCTACCTTCTGGGGAGCGAGTCGGCCGTCGGAAGACAGCGCCTCAGAACCGCGCCTGCCCTCCGGCCCGTCCAGCCCAGCGCTGGGAGGCGTCCCGAGGAATCACCCAGAAGCAGACGCCGCTTCGACGTCGGGTCACTGTTACACCGGCCACCGGACACCCTGCGCCCCACAACCCAGAGGCTGCGCCACCAGAGCGCGTCCAAGCCCCGAGCGATGCCGCACCGTCCACGCATCGGCAGGGAACCGGCGTTTCACGCTGACGGTGACTCCGACGAACGAGAAAAGCATCAGAAACGGTTTCTGTACGTAGTTGTACGTATCCCTGTGCTCACCATGGACGCGGCCAGGAAAACAGTGCGAAGGACATAAAAACACCCCGACCTGGAGCAGTTCTCACCGGGAAGGGGCGGGGAGCTTTGTTCTGTATTTACCCTGCGGTGCCTTTTCTGAATCAAACAGAGACCCAGTGCTGTCTGCAGCAGGAACTGCATCTGTGGGCCACACTCCACCCCTGGCCCAGCAGCCCCTGCACCGCTGGGACCCAAATCGCCAGGACCCAGAAAGAGCCCCCGCGGCCGCCTGGGCCTGCGTCCAGCCCTCGGGTCTCCCCGGGGGACTCGGGCCCCGGTGGGAAGGCCGGGAAGGGCTGCCCGCCACTCGGTTACTCACCGGTCACTCCACAAGAGAGAAGGGTCGGTCCGTGGCTCATCTTCTTTGGCGGGCGCTGCAAACAACCAGAAAAGCCATTCACTCTCCGAGCCACAGGAGCAGGTCCGCACGCGAGCCTGCGCGGAGCCCTCGCCACCGCCACGCTCGGGCGGCTGCCTGTGCCCACGCCGGGGAAGCGCAAGGAGAGAGACGCGTTCGTCGGACAACGCCTGCCCACAATGCGGCCGGAGCTCTTTGTCTGAAGTCTCCAGTGGGTCAGGGAGTCTGGGCCTCCAACACCCACGAGAAGGCCCATGACCTCTGACCCCGGGCTTCTCCGTGGAGGGATGCGGAGGGGCGAGGGAGGACGGGTGATGTGCGCAGGTGACGGGGTCGGGGTGAGCCGAGGCCCCGCACAGCCCAGCCTGGGAGCGGAGGGGACCTCATGGTGGCAGGAAGGACCCCGAGGGAAGGGCCGAGGCCTGTGCCACCCACGCAACCCCTCCCAACTGAAACGGGAGCTCGAAGGTTGTCATTGCTCTCCACGTACAACGTACAGCGGTGGCACCACATCCCGCAGTGGCTCCCTTCCCGCTGGGGGCTGCTACCTCTCCCCCACCCCACCCCGGCCAGAGCAGAACACCATGGCTCCCCGGTGAAAACAGGCCAGGGAGGCCCAGCAGAGCCCCCTGAGCGTGGAACATCCCGGGGCTCCCTGTGCCAGCGGGGCCCCCAGTCGAGAGGCCTGTTCTGACCTCTGGGGGGAGAACAGGTGCCCGCCTGGCCTCAGGAAGAAGTATTCCAGACTCGTTCATCCAGCCCCTCCACCAACCTGCACCACGACTGCCCACGCAGGCTGGGGGTGGGGGTGGGGCTGATGGCGCAACGGAGAGAGAGCAGGTCCCAGCCCGGGAGTCGCTGGTCACCGAGGCCCTGACTTCCTAGGGCAGCCCAGGCCCTGGCTCTTTAAGGCCTGGGAGGGGGAGGGTGGAGCCGACGAGGAACACCTGGCCCAGCCAGATAAGAGGGGTGGCAAGTGCAGGGCACCCGGTCCCCACCCTGTCCCCAGCGCCCGGTGCAGGGACCTTTGCCCTCAGGTATGTGACCAGGGGCGCAGAGGGGGCGGCCGTCTTGGCCCCCAGGAAGCTCACAGTTCGTGGATGTCACAGTCACGTGGACAAACCTGACCCGACAGGGAGTGGGGCTGGAGGAGAGGGACCCAGACTGCGGGGCTGGGGAGCAGGGCTGGCTTCTGGGGGAAACTGGGAAGTTGGTGCTGAGGAACCAGAGGAGCTTACGAGGGGAAAAGGGGGTGCAGTCCTCCAGCGCCCCCTCCTCTGCGGAAAACAATTCTTATGTCATCAGGATGGCCACCCTCCCGGACTCCTGGACTCCAGGACGCAACCACCCAGTGCACAGCCCCGGGACCACAGCCCCCACCCCCGCCCCTGCTCGGTGGGCGGGAGGCAAACCTGCCAGGCGAGGAGCCCACAGAAGCCCAAGCCGGGACGGGCGGGGGACGCAGGAGAGAGAAGCGGGCGGCGGCCGGCGGACTGTGTGGGTGCAGGGCCGCTGAGGGGGGGCCACGGGCCACAGACAAGAGCGAGAAGCAAACAGGGAACCGACCCGCTGTCCCCTCGCTGCTGCGGGTTCCAGGCAGAGGGGCGCCTCGGGGCCCTCCCAGGGAACGTGGGCACATAAGTGGGCACCGCAGCGGCAGGGGCTGTGCCCACAGGAGGAAGCCCCGGGCTGCAGAGGGGGCTCCCTGGGCTGCCCCCACTCCCTCGCTCAGCGAGGATGTACTGTGTTTGCTGGGGGCCCGCCTCCCAGCTTGGAGGACCCACGCCTGGAATGTGAGTGCTCCTCACTCCCCCCCCCCTGCCCTGCTCCACACCCCCCACTCCCCACTGCGAGCCTGAGCCAGCCTCCTCACGGGTCCCCTGTGCCCTGGGCCCGTTCTCCATTCCCCCCCATTCTCCCAGCCCACACTGTTCCTCTCCAACGACTTCCCACAGCAACCGGAATAAAACCCAGGCTGCCCTCCCCCGCCCCCCCAAGCAGGCCCATGAGCAAGTCCGGCCCTCAGCCCCATAGCTCCATCCGTCCCGCACGCAGCTCCGCAGGACGGCCAGCTCGCTGCCACCCCGAGGCCTGTGGGGGGTCCACATGATGGGGTCTGGGCCTTCCTGTCCTGCGGCCTCTTCAGGGCGCCCTCCCCACCACGCGTGCTCTCGGGGTCTGGGCGCCTAACCAGTTCATTTGTTCCTGTGCTGATTCTGCCCCCGCCCCCCACCCCCCAGACCTGAGCTCCTTGAGGCTGCTGCCTTGTCCGGGGCATTCCCAGCTCACAGCAGGCTCCACGGGACTACCCGCTGTCCGGCCACTGCGGCCACCTGTCAGCCCCTCGGACTCCGGCCAATGGAAACTGACTTTCACTGGGCGGCCCTGCTGCCTCTCCAATCGCTGGGCTTAGGCCAAGTGGCCCCGGTGGGGAAGGGAGAGCACCGGGCAAGCCGGTAGGGGCGGCCCCAGGCCGGCCGGGTCCCCCCGTGGCCTCTGACGCTAAGGGCCCAGCGGGCCAATGGCTAACACTGAGATCTCCAACTCGAAGGAACCCCTTCGCCAGGTCCCTGTCCTAGGGGAGCCCCCCTCCTGGTCCGCTCGTTGAGCGTGTGGAACTGACGGAGGGGTGCAACCCTGCTTCTTCTGTGAGAAGCACCCCGATTCTGCACCAGGTTCCTCCCCCCCTCGCTGCCTAGATCGAGGTAGGACTGGGCCTCCATCTCCCTGGCATGGGGTGGGGACAGGACACAGGGTGGCTGAGCAGACACTCCTGGCCCAAGGCTCTGACCCGGGACCCACCCGGCGGGAACTCCTGAGCCTGCCAGCAGCACCCGCCTCCAAGACCCTGCGAGCTGCCCCTGCCCGCTCCGGGGTGTCATTCACCAGCCCTGCCAGTCCTGCCTCCTCCCAGCGCTCCGGGACAGTCACTGGGCGGGTCTGGCACGGACCTCGGAGGAGCCTGGCCGGCGGCGTGCGGAGCTTCCCGGGCCGGTGGGCAAGCCTTGGCCCAGCCACGGAGGATCTGCTAAGAGTGACGTGTGAGCCGAACCACGAGGAGAGATTTCTAAGTCAAACCTGCTTAACCAACATGGCATTTCTAGAGCAGTGCTGTTTTTTGTGGGTTTTCTCCAATATACTTTTGATTTCAGAGAGGGAGAGGGAGAGAAACATCAATGATGAGAACCACTGATCGGCTGCCTCCTGCACGCCCCCCACTGGGGATGGAGCCCACAACCCGGGCCTGTGCCCTGACCGGGAATCGAATGGTGACCTCCTGGCTCATAGGTCTATGCTCAACCACTGAGCCAGGCCAGCAGGGGAGTTTTTTCTTCGAGATACGTTCTGTTTGCTTTTTTACAAAAGGCAGTTTCACCCTCTTTCTTTTCCTTCTCCACTGCACGATGGTCCAGTCAGTCAAACTGGTGTGTGTGCAGCCCATCGACCTAATGATGGAGAAACGCTGACCGACGGCACAGTGGCCGGTTTAAGGCCAACCACAGGCGTGGCAGAGTCCGGGGCTAATCCTCCCCCTGGAGCAGCCAAAGGGAAATGAAAAGGAATCGGGGTCCCATCATGCTTCCTGCGCCCCGTCTGAGGCTGGGCTGCGGTGGACAGGCTGGAGCATCACCACCCCCACGCTTCCTAGGGAGCAGGCCCAGGCACCCCTGACCACTGGCCGGTGTCCCGGGACCCAGCACTGAGGTTCCCATGGCTCCAGGCTGCCCAGAGCTGTCTGACTCCCAGCGTCGCCGTATAAGATACAATTCCCACTGTGGGTGCCCCACTGCAGGCGGCCTGCCTCGCCCTCTGCACCTACTGGGGGAGGGTGAGCCGGTCGCTGTGAGCTGGGGGGCTCACCAAGGAGTCTCCCAGGACGCTGGGTGTGCGCACAGGTGCACAGACGTGGCCGGGCCTGGCTGGTGCCGGCAGGGCCTGGTGTCTGTGAGGCTCCTTAGCTCACGAGAGAAGGTTCTGGAATCAGAGCCTCCATGGGAAAGGCAAAGGCTGCAAATCAAATGGAGGCTTCGGGGGCCCTGACTCCAGTGGAGACACAATTCCGGTCTCTCCTCGGTGAGGAGCTCAGACAGGGCATGGCGGCGCTCCCTCTGCCCGCGACCCGCTTCCGCCCACCTTCCTTCTGCGGATCCTAACGGGGTAACCGTGTCACCACTTCCTCCTGCGGCGCGGGGTGCCGGGAACCAGTGCTCACAGATGAGCTCACACTCAGGCACGTGAGGGGAACCAGCGGGGCGCCCCAGCCTCTGAAGCGGCAGGCGGGGAGGCCATGGCCGTGGGAAGCAGAGGGAGAGCCGGCCCCGGGAGAAAAGAGAAGCTGGGGAAGGAGAAGCGCCCTTGGGGGTGTAACGGGGCCTGGCTCCCAGGCTGGGGGAGCTCAGGGGTCTGTGCTCGCCCCGGGGGGAAGGCACCCAACTGCCTGGGACCCTGCACGTCCCAGTTCAAGCTTCAGGGATCCTGGGGGGCTGTGAGCCCGAGGCCAGCGCCAGTCACCGGGAGAAAATGGCCCTCGGAGCCCAGGCCGCTGGTGCCAGGCCTGACGAGGCCACGAATTCTTCTGACTGAGCAAGGGGCTCAGCCCTGGCCTCCTCAGTGTGGCCGCTGCGGGGCAGGCCAGGAGGCTGGGGAGGGGTGGCGCCTGCAGACCTCAGAGGGACTGAAGCCCCGCGGGGAGAGGGCCTGGCGGCAGATGTCACTCTGGAGGGAGAGGACCCCCGGGGGCGGGCGGGCAGGAGCTGGGGGAGCTGTCCCCGAGGTCAAGCGTCTGGGCGGCCTGCCAGCAGAGCTAATGTTAGAGCAGGAGGAGGAAGAGCCGGCCGCAGGCAGAGGGAAGCGGCTGCAGTGGGGGAAAGGGGAACCAAGCCGTCGCGCTGCCCATTGTGCAAGCCACAGGGGCCGGGCAGAGCGGGGCGGCCCCCCTCGGACAGGCAGTGTCCGCGCGCCTTCAGTCTCCCAGGAGCAGGGCCAATCCGTGGTCACCGGCGTTTCGTTTTCAGAAAAAGGAGAATCAGAACCATTGAGTGGGCTCCTGGGAGGCAGGGAGGGGCTGGCCGGGCCCCAGGAGCTCGGTCCGCCCGCCGGCCTCTCCTCAGCCAGCACTTCCAAGGCCCCAGTGACTCCCTGCAGTTTATTTTTAATATATTTTTTTTAGTCTTCACCCGAGGATATTTTGATCTTTTTCCCACTGATTTCTAGAGAGAGGGGAAGGGAGGGAGGAGGTGGGGAGAGAGACACATCGATTGGTTGCCTCCCACACGCACCCCTACTGGGGCTGGGGAACTTGCAACAGAGGTGCGTGCCCCTTGACCGGGAATCAAACCGGGGACCCTTCAGCCCACAGTGACGCTAACCACCGACCACGCCGGCCAGGGCTTTCTCTCCTCACAGCCGAGCCTCTGGCACCTGGTCCCCGGAGGCCAAATGGCCTGAGGTGACTCACATTTTCCTCTTTAACCTCAAGTCCCACTTCTGCTATCTCCTTGGTCTGAGGAGAAAACAAAGAAGAAAGCTGTCCATCTTCCCTGCTGTTATCTTGATGGCATTTACTGAGGATGATGCTGCCGGCTGAGCAGCCCACGCAAAACCCCCACTAACTTCCTCTCAACCTGCCGGCCACTCAGCCCGTTCTCGGCCGCGTTATCTCACATTCCGTCTGGGCATGTCATCGCGAGGCTGGGATTATTAGGGTCTTTCTGGGCTGTTTGGTCCGAGCCTCCCCGCCCCCCGCCCCCCCCCCCCCCTGCCAGGCCTCGTCAAATCCTGAGGGACCTCAGCTGGGAGGGAGCCGGGCTGGGGCGGCTGGAGGTCTCGGTGCAGGAGACAGGGCTGGGCTGGAAGACAGCAGCTTCCTGGCACCGAGCCCGCGAGCTGTGACCTGTGCCCCAGCCCTCACCCCAGCCCCTGGGCTCTGCCACTGTTTCCTGTCTGTAACGGAGACAGAGACGGCCGGCTGCCCCTCAGGGGGTGGGAGGCTCCCGGGCAGGGAGAGGGGGACGGACCACGCCTCCCTCCCAGGCTGAGGGGTGGGAGGCTCCCGGGCAGGGAGAGGGGGACGGACCACGCCTCCCTCCCAGGCGCTGGCCACAGCTGCTCCCTGCCCCCGCCCTGCCCACTGCGCTGCGCTGTGTCCGCGGAAGCAGGCCAGGCCTGGGCTGTGGCCAGCAACCTGTGACCCACAACACACAGGCGACGAGACCCCTCTCCAAAGGGGACGCTCCCCACAGCTGGCCTGCACATCTGGGAGCCCAGGGGCGGGAGGGGCACAGTCCAGCCCGCAGTCCGTGCTGGGGGAGGTGGGCCTGGTGCTCACTCTGGGACAGGAGTCTGGGGGGAGAGGAGCTCTGACCCGCACCAGCAGGGTGCGCACGCACAGCCGCCTTCTCCGCCCCCACCCCCGGACTGTCTCTCCGTCTCTCTTCCAGATGAGTCTGCCTTCCCCCGCTGGGCTGGGACGGACTCCTCCTGGCAGGAGCTCAGCCCACGTCCGTCTGAGGAGAGGAGCGGCTCAGCTGACCTCGGCCCACGTGGCCTGGAACCAGCTCCGGGGCCAACCCCAGCCAGGTCTGCCCCGAGACGGGACCTGGGTCAGGGCGCTGAGCCCACAGCGCAGCTGGAAGCGGGCAGGATCCTCCCGGGCCCTCCAGAGGCCCTCACCCTCAAGGCCATCCCTGTCCGGACAGAGCTACGCTAGATGTGGCTTCCGTCCCGCAGGAACCACCACCAGCAGCAGGCAGAGCAGGCTTGGCCCCGAGCTGAGCAGCCGCCGGGCATGGGAACCTGCGCTCGTTCACCCTACAAACGTCCCCTGGGCCCCGCCACGCACCAGGCCCCGGTCTCGGCCACTGCGGGTCCAGCAACAAGCAAGAGAGACACGGCCTGGCCTTCATGAAGCCCGAACTCTGGGGCAGGAGTCACTCAATACACAAGACCCAGGCGTGGAGGGTGCCTGGGCCGAGGAGACCGGGAAAGGGGGCAGAGGGCGTGTGTGTGTGTGTGTTGGGGGAGGGACGGGTGGGAGTGGAACTAAACTGTAGGCCGACTCCTCCAGAGGAGGAAGGGAGGGGGAGAGTCCTGCTAAGGGGAGTCTTCCAGGCAGAAGAGCGTGCAAAGGCCCTGGGGCAGGCTGTGCTTAGCAAGGAGCCAGCGCAGCCAGGGCAGATGCACGCGGGAGCAGCAGAGAGCACGCAGTGGTCATGGGGCCGGAGCACGTGGGCCTGGTGCATCCCAGGAAGGGCTGCAGGATCGCTGGGCCCGGATGGGAAGCCAGGGCCAGCCTCTGAGCGAGGAGGGGCCGGGTGGATGCGCTCGCTCTGGCTGCGGGTGGGGAACAGGCTGAAGGAGCCAGAAGCAGGGCCGTTCCCACAAGTGTCCTGGCGGGAGAGGACGGCCGGTGGGGGTGCTGAGAGGCAGCTAATGACAGACACACATGAAATGCCAGCTGGAAGGCAGCGCCGGCCGAGCCCCGCCTCATCCCTGTTTGTGCACTTCGTCCAGCCCAGTGCCTGGCGCCCGGGGTGCTGTTAGGTGTGGGGAGTGGACACGGGTCCCGGGCTCCTGCGAGGGCCAGGGCCCCGCCTACCAGCTCTCAGCCTGTCACGGGGGAGCAACAACGTGGGAGCCCACGAGGGTGCTTGTGTGGGAGCTCCCATGGGGCAGTGGGGGTGCCAGGCAGCATGACCACAGACAGTGGGCCCCGCAGACCACAGCGGCTGCAGAGCCCGGGGACAGCCCTGTCCGCAGCCCCTCCCCTGGAGTGTGTGCCTGATGGGGCTTCCTCGCTCCTTCCGCAGGCGGGGCCCCGCCGGAGGGACCAGCAGGGACAGGAGGCCGTCTGGTTCCCCCTCTCACAGCCGCGTGCCCGCCTCCTGCCCACCCTGCCAGGCCATTTGTTCAGAGCACAGCTTGGGCGAGGGCAGCGGGGAGAGGGCAGCTGCCACCACGCCAGCCGCGGCCACCAGCTGCGCCCGCTTTGCCCTGACACTCCGGAGGCGGCGCTCTCGCCCACCGCCCGGCGGAAGTATGGCCTCACCCTGGGCCCCTCGCAGGTGCCACCCCGACCGGGAGGAGCCCAGCAGGAATGTGGGTCCCGGTCTGGCGGGCGCGGCACCAGGCCTGGTATGACCTGCAGGTGCCGGCTGCCCCACCCCCCTCACCAGAGGGCTCCGGTGCCCGCCGGCTCCCTCCTTCTGGCAAGGACTCAACCAGGCTCGGTCCTCTGCCCACCCACCCCCACCCTGCCCACGGGCACGTCCCAGAGCCCTGTGCACGGGGCCCTCTGGGCTCAGCCCACAGCGGCAGGGGGCCCTCGGGCCTCTGAGGTCATGGGAAACCAAGGCCAGGCGCTTACCAGCTCCGAGTCGAAGGGCCTGCCGGCCGCGGAGTGGGCGCCCTGCGTGTCGAGGCTCTTCCTCAGGATCATCACCATGGCAGGGCCTCAGGAGCGGGGCTCTGCCCCAGGGCGGGCACCAGCCATCCTCCGTTGGGCAAGCGCGGGCAGGGGTCTCCTGGGCACCTCCCAGGGGGCTGGGTCAGCAGCAGCTCCCCATCGGCCGCTCCCCTCGGTGGGGCCACCTCGCTGGGGCCACCTCGCTGGGAAGACAAGAGGCAGGCAGAGGGCTTAGGGCTGGGAAGACCTGGGCCCGAGAGAGCTGCCCACTGCCCCCACGCCGGACCCGCCTCCCCGCGGAGGGACATACGTGCAGGGAGGGCCTCGAAGGCCAGAGGCCCCTCCTCGTTCCCCCCGGACCATCTGACCCTGAGGGTCCCCAACGCCACCGCCCCGAAGGTACAACCATGAATTTCAGTTCAGCCACGTGACACCTTCCAGACATATCTCGGGGTCTCCCGATCTGCTGCTCCCCGAGTGTGATCGAGTCGTGTGAGACCGTACACGGAGCCGGCTTTACGGACAGCTCAGTGTCTGCCCCCGCCCACCCCAAGGCTGAAGGTCCCACAGGCCAGCCTCACAGGCGGCCCTCGGGCGGCCGACAGGCGGCAGACCCACAGTCAGCAGGTGGCGGGACAGGGCTCCTGGCAGCCTCGGTCAGCTTGGCCAGGAGACCCTGCAGTCCCCGCACAGGGAGCAGAAGCGACGCGTTCCGACCAAGGTGGCCACGCCAAGGGAAGAGCCCCCGTTGAGCAACCGGGGCCGGAGCCCCAGCTCTTGAAATGCACGGTCTGAGTGACCTTTGCCAAGTCCCCGTCGGAGCCTCAGTCTCCCTGAGGAACGGAGCCGGCGGTGGCTGCGTCAGGCTGGCGGGAGGCCCCGCTCGCATGAGGGCTGCTCCATGAACAGCGACTTCGCTCACGTCATGGCGGAGCCTGGGGCCCGGGCCTAGCCTTCCTCAGCAGTGGGCACCCACGCATCTGTCCCTCCCGATGTTTAGAGGGAAATTCCATCAACTTTAAAATGTATATTGTTGCCGAAACCGGTTTGGCTCAGTGGATAGAGCGTCGGCCTGTGGACTCAAGGGTCCCGGGTTCGATTCCGGTCAAGGGCATGTACCTGGGTTGCGGGCACATCCCCAGTGGGAGATGTGCAGGAGGCAGCTGATCGATGTTTCTCTCCCATCGATGTTTCTAACTATCTATCTCTCTCCCTTCCTCTCTGTAAAAAATCAATAAAATATATATTTAAAAAAAAATAAATAAATAAATAAATAAATAAAATGTATATTGTGCCGCGCCCCGCACGGCCATGGGTGAGCCTGAGGGCGGGGGGAGGGGGCGGTGAAGGATGGAGAAGACGGACAAGAGAAGAAAGCTGGGGCTGGGTCGGACGCTGCCCTCTCTGATGGAGAGAGCACCACAGCCTGCAAGCCGAGTCTTTATTTTGTAGCAGATTCCACGAGCAAAGTAAGGGCGTGGTCACAACGTTCTCGCGGGTTTCGAATCCACTGTTACAGGCACCTGGTCAAGCTTTGTTTACTTGCTGCCCCTCCCGCAGCCCACATCACTCAGCCACGTGGGCCCACAGGTGCGGACCATAGGGTCAAGCTCACAGCCATAGCCTTTGGCTGTAATTGTGCTGGGACTTGCACGTGGCTTTGCCAGGAGAGGACCGTGCCCTCTCATTAGCCCCAGGCTTGAACCTGTCCGAACGCTGTGCTGATCTCCACAATATATAAACCTTTATTGGTTTCAGAGAGGAAGGGAGAGGGAGAGAGACATCAATGATGAGAGAGAATCATGGATCGGCTGCCTCCTGCTACTCCACACTGGGGATGGAGCCCACAACCTGGGCACAGGCCCTGACCAGGAATCGAACTGTGACCTCCTGGTTCATAGATTGACGCTCAACCACTGAGCCCCACCAGCCAGGGCATGAGCTATGCCATCTTGTCCAGCGCATTCTCCTCTTGTGTAATGTGTGAGAAGTTAACTTGCTCTGCCAGCTCGGGGGGGAGGCGGGGGACGCGGAGAGCGGGGAGGTTAATGTGGGGGCACCCTACGAAATGTCCAGGATGTCCTGCTGTCCTGAGGTGAGCGGACAGCAGGCCCTTCGTAAAGGCTTCTAAACTGGTGACCAGGATCACGTCTTCCCAGCTACCCCTGAGCAGCTGGGGCAGGAGCCACGCTGGGCATTTTCCAGGGGATGGGCTGCTATCGAGTCTCATGCTCACTCGGGCTCCCACGTGCATGTGCCGGGTGAGGAAACCGGGCTCAGAGAGGAAGGCGGCCTCAAGGCGTTTTCTGAAGTAACAACATGAGCATCTATTCCCTGGCTCACCTTCACCAATCAAAGGCCACCAGGGCCCACCTTTGGGGACGGGCCAGCAGTCCCCTCACCTGGCCACCAAGGGGCGGCCTGGGCTCCCGCGAGGCCCTCTGAACAGCGGGGAAGCCGCCACGGGGGCGGGAGCTGCTGCGGCTCCGTTCCGGGGACTCCACAGTCGCTCTCACGGTGTCGGGGGGATTTCCTGTGGTTTCGAGCCAGGAACATTCGCGAGGAGGGAGGGCCGGCACGCTCGGGACAGGGAAGTGTTGAGAGCCGGAGCCAAAACAAACCCGAGCGTGGGAGGAGGCGCCCACGCTGCTGCGGAGCCGAAGCCAGCTGCCGGCAGGGCCTGTCAGGAGCCCATCCATCACCCGGAGGCCACGGACACGGGCTTCCTGCGGCCCTCCCGCGCCCCGCGCCTGTCACTGCAACCCGCCGAGCCCCCGTAGAGACGAGCGTGGCGTGGGCCGGGAAGCGGGAAACACGGTGGCGAGGGCGAACCAGCACCACTGAGCCAGCAGCGCCCACCCTGCGCCTCCAGCCCCGGGCGAGGGGGAGGGCGGGGAGCGGGGCACCGGGAGGCACAGGGGGCCCGAGCCGATCGGAAACCCTAAGCCACGTCCCCTAAGATGGCCGTGACCTGTTCTTCGGTCAGTCTATTGACAAGTACAGCGGAAGGAAACGAGAGAGAGGGGTAGAAAATTAAAAACCAAAGCCGAACTGGAGAAGCCCTAACCAAGGGCAGCCTGGCCTTGCACAGACAGGGGCTCGGGAAACGGCCCCGGCTGGGCCTTGGGCCGCAGTTTCCTCACCTGTCCAAGGGGAGGCTGGGCCAGACGAGCTCGGTGTCCGACACGGGCTGCGGGCTTCAGCCAGGCCCCTGCCCTCCCGGCCAGTGTCCTCGCCTGTGACATGCAAGCAAGACCCCGAGTGAGCGCGACCCTGTGGCTCTGCAGGCGTCGTGTGAGCGGAGGAGGCGGCTGGGAGCTGGCAGCTGTCCTGCTGGGCAGAGTGGCCAGCCTCCCGCTACGGCTCACGCCTGACCCCCGTGCTCGAGGTCCCAGGAAGCCGGACAGCAGCCAAGGCCAATTTCACTCCCTCCCAGCAGGAGCCTCGACTGTGACGCCCCAGCGCCGTGCGGGGGCCGGGCCGGTGCCGCCGGGTGGGAGGTGGGATGCAGACCAGCCCCCTCGCCCATCCGTGAGGGGTAGGAATGGGGGTATTTGCACGAACGCGTTGTCCACGCTCATCCCTAAGCACGCAGGGTGCCTTGGTGTCTTTTTAAAATTTGTAATTATCTCTAGTATTTTCTTTTTATTTTTTTAATATATTTTTATTGATTGCAGAAAGGAAGGGAGAGAGAGACAAACAGCAATGATGAGAGAGAATCCGCACGAGGGGCGGCTCGGGGCCACCTGGTTCTCAGGATCTGTGGTCGCATGACTCCCGTGTCTGACGCTCACACCTCCCGAGACCTGCGAACGCCATCAGAGCCTCCGTGGGCGGCCTTCCCGCACCGGCTCCTGGGAAACCCTCACCCGGGTCCCGCCGCAGGGCTGTGCTCTGGTCCCACCACCACCCCCCTCAGCAGGGCCAGCACCCCCATCCCCCACAGCAGGGTCAGCACCCCCACCCCCAGAGCAGGGCCAGCACCCCCACCCCCCAGAGCAGGGTCAGCACCCTCACCCCCCTCAGCAGGGTCAGCACCCCCACCCCCCAGAGCAGGGCCAGCACCCCCACCCCCACAGCTGGGTCAGCACCCTCACCCCCACAGCAGGGCCAGCACCCCCACCCCCAGAGCAGGGCCAGCACCCTCACCCCCACAGCAGGGCCAGCACCCCCACCCCCACAGCAGGGTCAGCACCCCCACCCCCACAGCAGGGCCAGCACCCTCACCCCCACAGCAGGGCCAGCACCCCCACCCCCCAGAGCAGGAGGGCCCGAGAGCCTGTGGAGGAGGTCAAGGGGCCAGTGGGCCAGGGGAGCGGGTGTGAGTGCTGCTGTGCTCCTAAAAGGGGCACTTCAGGGACCCGGGCTGAAGGGCGACCCCTGTGCACACCGGGCCGTGCTCGCTTTCCTCATCTCCGCCTCCCGGAGTCAGAGACCTGTCCCGCATCCCACAGTCCCCGGGGCCAGGCCAGCCCTGGGGGAGGAAGGCGGGGCGCCAGCCAGGTTCACAGTGCAGACACCCAGGGCAGCCAGGACGCATGGCACAGCCCGAGCCAGGGTTCGGTGGGCGCTGCTGGACAGAGGAGCCGGCCAGGAGCGGCCGTCCTCCCCGTCGGGAGGGAAAGGTCTGCAGGGGGCGGCATGAGTGGGGCCTCACCGACAGGCAGGAGTTCGACAGCCAGAGACAGGGTGAGGGCACCCCAGGAGGGCGCCAAGAAGGGCCGTGTCCCACACCCAGCGAGCGGGGGGCCGGGCGCTGGTCCCGGCTTCTGGTGGGAGGAGCCCCACGCTGCCCAAACGGGCACATGTCCAGCTGAGGTCCCGGGGGGGGGGGGGCCCTGCCATACGGATGCACCCCCTGCCTCCTCGCCCAGCCCCCGCCTCTCTCCGCTCCTCGGCTCTCAGGGTTCCCCCCGCCAGACCCGTCCGTCCTGGTCCTGCTCTCCCTCTGCGGCGAGAACACCGCGCACAGGAGCTGAGCCAGGAGGGGCACAGGCTGGTGGTGACGGAGCTGAGCAAAGGCAGGTGACCCTGAGCTCCCGTCCTAACAGGGCAGCGCAAAGCGAAGAAACCCCACAACAGTCATCTGTCTCCCGGGACGCCCACAGCCCTGCCCCGACCGCGCGGCCACCGGGAGCGCCAGCGGACAATACAAGGATTGTGCTCTCTCGGGAGGGGGGGCGCACAGCCCCCCACGAGAATGCCACGATCGTCCCGGACTCCCGAGTTACCACCACGTGACCCGGCATGTGCCCAGCACACGCTCCCTACGGTGTCCGCGGTCACGAGAACACAAAGGCGCGGGGCCGGGACGCAGGACGGAGGAGGGAGTCAGGCGGCAGGAACGCTGCTCTCAAAGCCTTGGCACCCACGGGGGGTGGGGGGGGGGGCGCTCTGCAGAACAAAGCTGCAAAGTCCGTAGGGGACGGCCATCCCCCCCAGCGGGTCCATCGGAAGCCAAGGACACGAGACAAGCAGGAGCTTCGGGTTCACTGGGGACAGCGGAGAAAGCGAGGCGGACCCATCTTCCCGGCACAGCCCCGTCCAACCCGCTGGCTCTGCATGTGCGCAGGCCCATCACCTCTAGGCAGGCTCTGCCTCGGTTTCCCCAGCGGTAACACGGTCTCTTTCCCTGTTAGAGGTGTGGCTGCAGAAGCCCAGGCCTGCTCCCCTGGACCCGGTAAGAGGAAGAATGGATGGAGCAGCTGGTTCTGGTCTCGCTGGTGTCCCGTCCCTAGCCCTCCACGGGGAACTGACCGCAGGCCGCCCAAGACAAAGGGCACCTGAGCCTGAGGACCGGCGCCTGGAGTCCTGGGGAGCACTGAGAGCACACACGTCGGGAGGGGACACGGAGCGGCAGGAAGGGTGACGCGGCTGCGGCGGGGCTGCCCGGCATCTCCCTGCCGGTGTTCGCGCCAACCGACCGGGGCTGAGAATGAGTCACACAAACCCACCTGGGAAACCAACACTAAAGCTCACAGTCACCAGGGTCCTGATGAGGAAGAGAGGGGGTGGGGGGTGGCGTAGGGTCCCGATGAGGAAGGAGGGGCTGGTGCCCTAAGAGAAAGACCCGCCTGAGTGAGAGTCGCAGACAAGCAGCTTCCAGAAGAAGGGCCAGTGTCCGGGTCTGCTGCGGCTGCTGGAACAAAACACCATCAACTGCCATCCCCTGATCTGTCAACGTGGTCCGTCCAGAAATGCAAAATCCATGAAGCATCGTGGGGGCCAAACAAGTCCCGTGGGAGGACCTCATCTGGCCCCCGGAACGCGGCGCACCCGCTGGTCTCTGGGGCCTGACTGTGCGACACTCAGGGAACTGCCTGGACAAAGTGCCTTCTCACCTGGGTCCGGAGAGCCGCGCCCAGGGCCCCACAGGCACGCACTCCCTCTCCCACGGGCTCCACCGAAGACCTGAACACGACCAGAGGCGCAGGCTGTCTGAACTCCTGAGCACATCAACGTCGGCAGTGAAACCCGGGCCCCCGACGGTGGGGCCGGCTTCCCGGGCATGTGCTTGGAGAGGTGGCTCGCCGGTTCGCTTCCCTGCCGGGCATCGTCCACAGGGTGAGCGGCGGCGAGGTGGGAGCAGAGGGGCCTGGGGCCTGCCGGCTCGGCCAGGAGCGCTCCCCGGGCCTCTCCCACGTGGCCTTGGAAAGGAAATGTTTCCCTGCCAAAGGCGAGCAAAGGCAACAGATGGAGCAGGACTCGGGGTCCCTGGCGCCCACAGATGGCGGCTGCGGCCGGGCCCCGCGGACCGACAGCTGCTTCCTCAATCCCGACTCCTGCGGACACGGGGCTCTGCTCTGCTGACTTCTATGCGAGATACAGAAGCGAGAGCGCGTTTCCTGCCTTTCCTCTCAAAGCAATCCGGGCACACGAGACTCCTCGCAGCACAGCACGCTCAGAGGCAACTCGGACGAAGTGGGTTTTCTTAAATGTCAGCCCGCAGGGCCACCGCTGCCCTGCCCACAGGCCACGGTGAAAACGCTGGCTGGCTGCCTCCAGCACACACCCCGACCAGGGCAGGGGATCGAACCTGCAACTGAGGTATGTGCCCTCGACCGGGAATCGAACCGGAGGCCCTTCAGTCCATGGATCGATGCTCTAACCACTGAGAAAACCAGCCAGGGCCTGAATTTTTTATTCCATTTAGTTTAATTATTATTGATTTTAGTGAGAGGAAAAGAGAGAGAGAGAGAGAGAGAGAGAGAGAAAGAAACATGGATAGGCTGCCTCCCACACGTGTCCAGACTGGTGATCAAACCCACAGCCCAGGTATGTGCCTGACCAGAAACCGAACCCACCACCTTGCAGTGTACGAGGCGACGTTCCAACCAACTGAGCCACACCGGCCAGGGAAATTCCACTGAGTTTTGATTAATTCAAATAATCTAATCATTGCATTTGTCTATTGTCGATAATTTCAATAAAGCTAAAAACCACTTACAGTTGCACGTGCCCCGTGGCTACCGCGTGGGACAGCGCACGGAGGACCCATACGAGGCGTCAGCACCTTTGCTCTGGGAAGGGCCGGGCTCCGAGACCAGATGGTCTGTCACCACCGCTCCGCTCCGCATGGGAGCACGAGGCAGCCACAGACACTCTGTACACAAGCGGACATGGCCGCGTGCCAATAAAACTTTATTTGCAAAGCCAGGCAGAGGGCCAGGTCTGGCCTGTGGGCTTCGTTTGCCGACCCTGCCCACCAGCTGGATGACGTGGGGCCTCTTTCTCTGACTGAACCGGGATGTCTTCGCCTATAAAAAGGGAGTGATCACAGCACCCACTCCTCACGCTGCTACGAGAGCCACAGAAGAGACCTGTAACAGGGGCCGCACAGAGCGGGCATTCAGGGAGCAGCCGCGGGAAACGGCACGTGCTGGGCTCCCTGACCCACACTACCCCGTTCACTGCTCCCTCGCGACGTGCGCACTGTGAGTCCCCGTCCACGAGAAACCAGGTGTCTGGTTCAAAGTCGATGCAAGAAAGTGGCAGGACTAGAACCCAGGGCCTCGCTTCCTGGCTCCACGCCCAGCCTCCCTTCCTCTGGCTTTTCCAGGGGCCGGCAGCCCTCCCCAACATCCTGCCTGACCGCCGGGCTCACTGTGCGACTTGTACTGTAAGAGGCTGGCTCTTTGTAAGAGACCATTAAGAGCAACGAAGCAGCCCAGACGGCGTGGCTTGGTGGTTGAGCGTCGACCTAGGAACCAGGAGGTCACGGTTGGAGTCCTGGTCAGGGCACAGGCCCGGGTTGCAGGCTTGATCCCCAGTGTGGGGCGTGCAGGAGGCAGCCGATTGACGACTCTCATCATGGACGTTTCTATCTCTCCCCCCCTCTCCCTTCCTCTCTGAGATCAATAAGAAGATATTTTAAGAAAAACTAAGGAGACAGCTTCTTGAGGACTCCAAGAGGATGTACCCTCCTGGCTCCTGTTCCGTCCACCATCCTGGAGCCCTCGTCACCACCAGGGACTGTGGCCGTCTACAGCCGTCCATCACCACACACAGGCTGTCCACTGGGGCTCCCCCCCTGCACTGGGCAGGGTCGGATGGGGTTCGGGTGTCACAGATCCGGCGCCCTTCACAGCGCTGCACCCCCAGCATGTGCTGACCGCCCTGGGAATGAGCCGCACAGGGAGGTGTGTTGCCCAAATCAAGGCCACATGCAATAACTCATTCACTCCTCTCCTCAGAACTGAACGCTGATGAGTAAACCCCTCCAGGGCTCACAGAAGACACCCCGCACCCCCATCCCCGTAGCTCATTGTTTTCCGCGCTTTCCTCCACGGCCGAGTCACATGCCGCACGGCCCGCGCTGGAATCCGGGCTGGCATCCGAGGGCGTGGAGGCCACAGGCGCGCCGGGCGCCAGGCGTCAGGTGACCCAGGCAGAACATTCTCGCGTGTTTGTGTCAGCAACTCCCCCGCCCTCCCTCCGAGGGCTCGGTGAGAACACGCCACCACAGAGCCCACAGGGCACTGGAGCGCCTGTCCATCACACCAATACGGCTACTCGGTTTTCTTTTAAAGCAGGTGGGAACCTTTTTCCTGCCAAGGGCCATCTGGATACTAATCACATCCTTCTCGAGCATACACAGTTATCAGCTTAGCCCTGGCCAGTGTGCTCAGTGGTTAGAGCGTTGTCCTGTGGTCCGAAGGGTCCCGGGTTCGATTCCAATCAAGGGCACGCACCTGGTCGGGGCTTGTGCAGGAGGCAACCCATCCATGTGTTTCTCTCACATCGATGTTTCTCTGTCTTTCCCTCTCTTCCACTCTCCCTTAAAATCAATGGAAAATTACCCTCGAGGGAGGATTAACAAAACAAAACAAACCTTTAATTAACTCACCACTAATGCCTTGGCAGGGCCAGACCCAATGACTTCGCAGGGCTTATAGCCCGTGGGCCCGACGTTCCCCAGCCCTGTTTAAAGGGAAAGCAAGGCAGCTGTCCGCCGAGGCGGGCTTCCTCAATCGGGCGCCCAAAGGCTTGCTCACTGCCCTGCTCCGTTCCGTGCGGCCCAGGCCAGACGCCCCGGGCGGCCCTGGGAATCCCAAGTGCCTGCTTCAAGCAAGAGCTTCGGCTGCGAATAAACAGAGACCGCAGCCCTCTGACCAAGTCAATGGCACTTGAAAATTCTGTGTCGGGAAGTAGCTCTCCCTCCAAGGAGGTCACTTCAAGGTCAAAATGACTAGGCCCTGGGCAGTGTCCCCACCAGGTGATGAGGGGTCCAGAGGCCGCCAGGTCCACACCCGGGGAGCGAGAGAGGGCCAGGTGGGAGGGCCAGTGCCAGCTGTGACCACGTAACCGGCACAGAGAGCTGCTGGCCGCGGGGGCGGGGGGGGGGGGCAGGGGGCACCAGCCGACTTGAAAGAAGGGCGACACCAAATAAAGCATCACCTGCAAGGAGTCTGGAGAGAAGCCCAAAGGGTAGGAGACGGACCCACGTCAGTTCAGACAGATGCGCAGCCACTCGGGTTCCCAGAGATTCGTCCCAGAAGCTGGTGAGAGCAGGGCCGGGGTCCTGAGGCCACTTCCCGACACCTCCATGAATGCCATTTCCTACGTTTAAGCCCAAATTAAAGCCCTTTCGGTAAACAGAGATTTTATTTCCTAAAGTGAAAGCCTGAAAGATTTCACCAGCCCGGCCAGTGTGGCTCAGTGGTTGGCACAGAGCTTGCCCTGGACCTCATGGCACCACCACCACCCCAGCAGGGCCCATCGGGACTCCGCATGGCACCACACCCTTCACGGGCTCAGCCAGGCTCTTGACCGGCCCCTCCAGCATGGAACGCAGGGCCGGCAGGATGCAAGCCCGAGGCCGGGAGGTTCGCCCAGCACATGAGGGCCAGCAAGTGGGCAGCAGCGTGCCCACCACCGTCCAGCGGGGATGCCGTTTGACCGGCAAAGGGGTATCACAGGAGGGGGCTCCCGAGCCCGGCCCTGGCCACAGAGGGCCCCTCCCATAACCCCACCTCCTGCAGCCTCGCAGAGCCCTCCTCACCCGGAGCATCTCGTCTTCCCACCTCGGAGCCGGAGCCGGCAGAGGCAGCGGCCAGCAGGGGAACCTCCCTCGGCTCCCAGGCCCCTGGCCAAGGCGAAAGCCAGAGGCAGGGGAATTCCAGGTGGCCAGGCCTTGCCCGCCAGCGCCCTCCATCCACAGGGCAGCCTCCCCGGGCCCGGAACCTGCGGGGCCACTCCTTTCCCCGAGGCCGACTGCCAGGGCAGAGGGAGGCCCAGGCCCTGCCCCCGGAGCCCGCAGGCCCACCCGCAGCCCCGCCACACGCCACCCGGCCCCTCCTGGAGGCGGCAGCATGGTGCCGTCAGTCACCGCTGGGCACTGCCCTGGACCTGCGGGAACGGAGCCTCCTGTGCACGGGCAGGCGCTGGCGACGCGGACTCGGGGAAGGAAGAACCAGGACGGGCCCCCGGCCAGGACGAGCCGCCATCCGCCATCCCGCTCGCCCGGCGGCAGTTCTGAGCGGCGTGTCTGCAGCAACAGGCAGAGCTGGTCCCTTGGCAGAGACTGCGGGGCCCTCCGTGAACTGGTGAAGCGAGTGCCCAGCGCCATGAGGGACACTCGGAAGGTGCCCGGTCCACGCCCGCTCCCTGAACGCAGGAATGACGGGCGGGAGAAAATAAGGACCCTCCTCGCCCACCTCGTCAGGCCCATCCGGGCCACGGAGGAGAGCGAGCCTCACCACCCACCACCACGCGCAGAGGAGCAGCTGGAGACCTTGGCCAGAGCGACCAAACCCTTCCCATCAGCGCCAGGCCCAGCAGGCCCATTGGGACTCCGTGCCCCGCTGGCGGTGACGGAGCTGCTCTGTCAACAACCGAGGGACCCGCTGAGCACAATTGGGCTGGCCTGTCAACGTCGACCGAGACAGCCCGGCTCGGCAGGCCGAGGACCTCTGCGCTGTGGCTGGGGCCATGTCTGCACCACAGCCGCGGCCTCTGGGCCAGAGCCGGCTTCAAAGTCTCACAGGACAGAAAGGGCGCTGGGCATGCCCGGGAGACGCAGCTCTGTCCCTCTGTGCCCTGGCGAGGGGACCTTGGGGCTCCCCGCACCTCGTGGGGTCGGATGTCCCCTCCGGAAGGTTGTGGACCGGAGACCTTGCTCTCCACAGCCCGCTCATCCTGAACGGACCTGGAGGAGGGGCATCCACCTGTCGAGGAGGCCAGGCTCCAGGCGGTCAGGTACAAGGTGGCTGGTGCATGGCCGTCCTGCCAGGCGAGGTGGAAAGAACAACTGCTCCCTGAGAATCACCCACACACGCCCTGAGCCAGACGGACTGTGTCTTCCCTCCCATGAACCGAGGGACGCCACGGGCCAAACCTCTGGGAGGCAGAGAAGCGGAACCGACCAGCGGGAGGGAGGGGCTCAGGGCCTGCAGAGAACTGCGCAGAGACCCCCCCCCCCCCCCCCCCGCATAAAACCCACCCGCTTCGCTCCGGGAGGAAGGTGCACAGGGGGCTGAGCGAGGCCTGCACGGGGAGGCGACCCGAGGCCTGGCCCGCCAGAAACAGGGACCCCGGGGCGATGTCTACGGCGGGCACTTCGCCAGGGGCGGGCACCGTTCCCATCCTCCCACCTCCACTGAGACACAGCGGTGGAAAGTTCCAGAGGGTTATGCCACTCCTGGTCCCCGCTAGCGAAGCAAGGTGCGTGTGGGGTCCATCCCAGCCCTCACTTCTACGTCTCGGATGCACAGATGAACCAACCCCAAAGCTTTAAAAACACCAATGCTAACCCGGCCGGCGGGGCTCAGGGGTGGAGCGTCGATCTAGGAACCAGGAGGTCAGGGTTCAATTCCCGGTCGGGGCACATGCCCGGGTTGCAGGCTCGATCCCCAGCGTGAGGCGTGCAGGAGGCAGCCGATCCGTGATTCTCTTTCATCATGGATGTTCCTCTCTCTCTCTCCCTCTCCCTTCCTCTCTGACATCAATAACAATATATTTAAACACCAATGCTGAGCCTGCCCTCCTCTTAAGGTTCTGATGTAACTGGTCCTGGTGCCGCCCAGACACAGGTGTTTGTTTAAACCTCCCCGGTGGCCCAATGTGCGGGCGGCGCTGAGAACCACTGCGCTGGATTCTAAAAACGCCGCCCGAGGGGGCCCAGCCCTGTCCACACACTCTTTCGGGGCAGAAAGGGCAGCGCAGCCCACCCGGCAGGCTTTGCAGGAGGTGGGTATCCTGCCCCCACGCCCACACCCCAACCAGGATCAACCTGCAAAGAGCCATCTGTCCGCGACAGCACGCAGGGCGCCTGACCAGCCCTGGGGGAGGGGGGGGGGTGGCCAGTTCCATGGCCGGAGGAGGCACAGTTATGTTTAGTTGCCTGATTACTCCAGGCCCGTCCACAACAGGGGGCTCTGCGCAGACCTGGGAGGGCAGCGCCACAAAACTATTTCCGCGGAGACACCTGAGTTACACATGAAAACCCCGGCACCGCCGAGCCTCCTCGCAGTCTCTGTGAACGGAAAAGGGAATCTGAATACACGGGGATGCTTCCAGCGGGCTGCCAGCCTCACTCCCCGCTGCCCCACAAGGTCACTGGGAATAATTACATTTTCGTGAGAATCTGTCCTCTGTAAGGACGAAGCAAAACATCTCGGTCTCCCCAGTGGAGGCACTGCCTCTCGTCCTGTGGTCGATACAGAATCTGATCGCTCCTCAAAAAAAAAAAAAAGGCTACAGGAGAGAGGGATAAAGGGAGATCGACAGTTAAATTTCTACGTTTCCCCGTGGTGCTACCAAGACTAAACAAAACTTATGCTCTGAGATAAAGCAGAAGCCGTGCCTCTGTCTTATGCGCACACCGGCTGAGGGCACGGTGTGTGCAGAGCAAGGTGGACGGGCCAGAGCTGCCAGCTTCCCGGCCTGGCAGCCGTGCGGCCTGGGGCCAGTTACTCGGCCTCTCTGAGCCTCAGTTTCCCCGGCGGTCACGGCAGGATTGCTCTGAGAATTACAGTGCAGGCCACGCCCCGGCCCAGGGTGAGCCCTCAATGCCCATGGGCCCTGCTGCTGTTCTTTGAACCATCTGCGCCCACTGCCTGGCACCCAGCTTTCCGTGGCCCCGAATCTCAGGAACTTGGGAGCCACATCACCCAGGAGAATCCGTTTCCTTGTTTGGGGGGAGGAGGGGAAGGAGCAGAGCAGCCAGGAGTCGGCCTGCCCCCCATTTGGGGGTCAAACGGCTGTTTACCAAAATGGTCCCGTTGACCTCCTAGGAGTGGACAAGGTCCCTCCAGGGACAGTGCACGCCCGAGGGGAGGGGCGCTGTTTCCAAGACTTCCCTGCGGTCCAGCCAAGCTGCCCCCTCCCCCCCTCCCCCCTTGAAAGGCAGACTCCCTCTCGCTCCGCAGCCCCACCGTGGGAGGAGGGGTGCCTGTCACGCTGCTCCGTAACCCCTGACGTGATGTGAAATTCGACAAGGTAGACCCTTTGAAATGCAAAATCCTCCCGGGCCCTTCCTCTGTTTTTATTTTCTCGGGCTCCTAGGGCTGCTTTCAGACCCACCCATCAGCGGTTCCCTCTCAATCAACCCACGCCGAACAAAAAGGGAAGAGGAGAGAGAGGCCGCGGCACAGACGGCTCTGTTTTTTGAAAACGCTCAAGTGTCTCCAGTTGCTGCAGGGAAAACCTGGCCCTGCGTCCCCTCCTCCCAGACCCCCTCCCGGAGCCAGCTCCCCCCCCCCCAAGGTCTCCTCCGCCCGCCCGACCCGCGGGCACTCGCGCTGCCACACTTTTAGAGGCAAGAATCCGCTGCCCTCTGACCCGCTGCCCTCTGACCAGAGTTCGGCAAGGTCAAGACAGGCAGCACGGAAACCACAACCCGCAATTTTCGGAGCCCCCACCTGGATCCAAAGCTGTGTGCGCACGAGGTTTGGATTAGACATCAAAGAAGAAGTTACCTTCACACGAAGTTGTTTGGCAAAGAAAATGACTCCCCCGTAAGAAGAACCCCAGGGGCCGGTAAATTGCTTTTGAATATAGACTTTTCAGTGGCGCGGCCATTAATCATGTTAATGTAAACTGCGCTAAAACCAACCTTCCTCGGAGAGGAGAGGCTCCGGGCACATCAGCATATCTAAGCCTCTGGGTTCGTTTCCAAAGTTCACATCCCGGCCCGCGGCCCGCGAGGGGACCGCAGTTAATGGAGGCGGCTATTCCAGTGCGGCCCCTGACCATGGCCACGACACAGGTGGCTCAGCGGGCGGCGAGAGCCCTCGCACAGCCGGCAGGAGGCACACACAGAAAGGAGCCGGCCAGGGAGTCTGCAGTGTACTCACTGGGCAAGTTTGAACAGCAGCAGCTCTCCAGGGGCCGGCGGAGGGCTGGGAGGGGAGCTGGGGGCGAGCGATCAGCATTCCTCGCAGCACCCAAGCCCTCGGCCGGGCTCTGCATTGGAGGGCGGAGGGCAGGGCAGCAACTGGACAGCTGGACGGGGAGAGAGGCGCCCAGCCGGGTGCAACTGCGCGGAGCCCGCCAGCCCCGGCCATGTGCTTCGTGTTGGCAACAAACTGGTTCTTTCACGAGAGGAGACGCTGACAAAAAGGACAGCTGCAGCAAGGGGAGAGGCCAAGAGGCAAAATCCTCGAAAAAGCCCCGACTTGGAGATTCTCCCCTCGAGTGGAAAAAAGAAGAAAAAAAAAAACAGTCGCCTTTGGGGTTGGCAAGGGCTGATCTATTAAAGTGTCCGTCCCCCCCTCCCCACACCCGGCTGGATCAATTAAAGGGAGCCCTCCACATCTGGTTTCCATCAAGACCGAAACTTGTATTATCAGCAGATTACACAACAAACCATGCCTGCCGTTTCTTTTTATTGCACTTCAGAGAGGTGTGTGTGGTGGTGGTAACCATGGGGGTTGTGCTGGGCTGAGTGTTTGCTTATTTCAGTCTTTTTTTTTTTTTTTTAAGGGCAGGAACAACAAGTTTTCTCCATCCAGTAGGAAATTCAGAAAAGTCACACGGCGGGGTGAGCGTGGAGGGAAGCACCTGACAGCGGGTCTCCCCTTGGCCTTCGGGGCCCACTGCAGGGAGCAGCGGGTGCGGAGGGCCTGCCTTTTTAAAGGGCCGGGCAAAGATGCGCCAACTTGCTCCGAGGCGGCCTCTGCTGCCCACTCCCAGGTTTTGCACCGGCTCCCGCCTCTCCCTCCGGCTCCTGCAGGCCAGGGGAGCTGGCCTTCTCTGGGCTTTGCTCAGGCGCCTGCTCTCCGAACCCACTTAAAGGACACGCAGCCCACTCTGCTCCTACAGAACTGGGGAGATGGAGGGGCCAGGGGACAGCAAAGGACGCAACAGGGAAAGTCCAAACGGTGTGGACAGAAATAGTCTAAGAAATAACAACAGGGCTTTCCACAAAATGCCGATTTAGTGGAGCCACCAGGATGTCACTAAGTATCTTTAAGCTCTTCTCAAAAGAACTTCATGAGATTCCAAAATGCTCCGTACACACGACCTACCCCTAAGTTGAAAACCGGAGGGAGAAACAACCCAAAACATTACCTATCAGAACACTGGGATGCTGCTCTGGTCCCGCCTCAGGACGGGCCAGCCCACCTCGGCCACTGCGGCACTGCCCGCCTGTATTCTGAACTGGTCTTCGCTGTTCAAATGACTGCTCGTCGGTATCACCTCCTCAGGGGAGCACAGGAAGTCTGGGCAACAGCATGTGCACCAGCCTCAGAGCCATCTTGCTCTCTGGATGGGGCACTGGGAGAAAAGCACAGATCTGCCCCGAGCCTCTCCATGCTGCAGACTGGAACAGTGGGTGCCCGGGCAGCTGGGTCAGCACCCTCGAGGCCTGCAGGGTGCCTGGCCGCATCCAGACCCCCGCCCAGTGCAGATACAGGGTCAAGGGCTTTGCATCCATAACTGAAGACCCGAAACTTCTCCCGCTAACCCAGGTTTATCGCTGGGACAAGACGCTGTTTTGTTTATCTAGTTGTCCACAGCTAAGAGGGGACGGAGGGGTCCCTACAGACCTGCAAGTCAGGATCAAAACTGTCACCGACTGAGATAATTTGCAGCTAAGTGGGTACATTAAAGTGAAACCAAAACCCGGCCAAGTCAGGAGCAGGGACTGTCACCCAGTCTGCTACCTCCGTCCCTTCCCAAGTCCTCACACCGGGTGGCATCCTGACCCGGGAGTCCGGAATCTGAGCGAGGAGGGAGCCCTCCCAGCCGGGGACTGCTGGGAGCACCTCGGCCAGCATGCGGCTCGCAAGTCTGCTAATATGGTGTGAGCAGCACCAGACGTTCGCCTGGCTCCCGGGCCAATAAACAATGCCACTCCGACTCCTGCAGCAGGCCACAGGGAGCAGCCCGGGCCTCCCCACCCCGTGCCACACGCACTTCTTCCTGCTGAGCCACTGTCAGCCCAGCTCCGTCCGCACCCGCTACGGCGGCGGCGGCGATGGCCTGCCCGGGGTCCCAGCTGGGAATGCATCCGGGGCCACCGGCCCAGCACCGAGTCCGGAGACTACAGCGCACGGAAGCCTCGGAGTGTGGCCTATAGGAGGCAGAATCCCATTCATCAAATGCTGCAAAGAGCTGTTCTTTGTTCGCCGTCGTTCCACGTAGAGTACGTGTTAATGAACCCGGGCGGTCAGAGGCAGGGAGCCGGCTTCAGGGGGCGTCCGGGGGCGTAGGACTCGAGCAAGGTGGCTCGCGCGTCTCCCCGGGACCTGCTGCCCTGTCCCGTGCCACGAGCATTGTTCCCCAAGTCTGCAGGCGCGGGTGGTGAGCTGTT